ACCTGCTGGGCTCAGGTGATCCTTCCAACTCAGCCTTCCAAGTAGCTGGAACCACAGGCACGCATCACCATGCCCAGCTAATTTTTTGATTTATCATAGAGACAAGGTCTCGCTAATTTGCCTAGGCTAGTCTCGAACCCCTGGGCTCAGGCAGTCCTCTTACCTCTGCCTCCCAAAGTGCTGGGATTACAGGCGTGAGCCACTGCGCACAGCTGTTGAGATCAGCTCAGGCATCATAGCAAGACCTCATCTCATAAAAATTTTTAAAATTTTCTGGGCACATGCCTGTAGTCCCAGCTACTCAGAAGGCTGAGGCAGAAGGATCACCTGAGCCCAGCAGGTTGAGTCTGAGAGAGAAGGGGGAGAGGGGAGGAAAATACACAGGCCTCTATTGATACTTGGATTTTACAAATACAGTAAAAATGTCATGTCTAAATATTCAACTTCTTCAAGTGGTCTCACACAACAGAATTGTTCACTTCCCAAACAACTCAGGTCTTGCAGACATGGATTATATTTTAGAAAATCACCATTAAGCTCTCTGAACCTCAGTTTTCTTCGTTTTTAAAATGTGATAGGCCGGGCTTGGTGGCTCAGCCTGTAATCCCAGCACTTTGGGAGGCCGAGGTGAGTGGATTGCCTGAGCCCGTGGGTTCGAGACCCGCCTGGGCAACTTGACAAGACCTCATCTCTACAATAAATCAAAAAATCAGCCGGGTGTGGTAGCGTGCACCTGTAGTTCCAGCTACTTGGAAGGCTGAGATGGAAGGATCGCCGGAGCCCAGCAAGTCGAGGCTGCGGTGGCCGGGAGTGGCCATTGCACTCCAGTCTGGGTGTCAGAGTGAGACTCCAACTCAAAAATAAATAAATAAAATAAAATGTGATAATGAATAACCCCACAGTCATTGTGAGAATGAAAGCATAACAGATATAAAGTGTTTTAAGATGCTGTCTAGAACATCATCTTAAGCTCCACATCTTGGATAGATGGGGAGCTTATTTTACTGACTGTTAGAACTTGAATATCCCTGTCTGGGACAGTTCTATTTTATGCCTGCTGTTCCAGCATAATTTTGTTGTTGTTGTTGTTGAGTTGGAGTCTCACTCTTGTCGTCCAGGCTGAAGTGCAGCGGCACACTCAAAGCTACCACAGCCTCGACCTGCTGGGCTTACAGGCTGAGCCACCATGCCTAACCGAGCATAATTATTAATAACATCCCTTTTGCTCTCAAAATTATCTCAACTTGGGCAGTATCACCTAGTTATAACCCAGAAGTGTTTGTATTACTATATTATTCTATTTATTTATTTTTGAATCGGAGTCTTACTCTATCACCCAGACTAGAGTGCAGAGGCACCATCACGGCTATCACAGCCTCGATTTTCTGGACTCAGGCAATCCTTCTTTCTGCCTCAACCTCCTGAGTAGCTGAAACTATAGGCATGGGCCACTACGCCAGCTAATTTTTTTGATTGGCTGAGGAGACGAGGTCTTGCCATATTTCCTAGGCTGGTCTCAAACTGGACTCAGGCAATCCTCTTGCCTTGGCCTCTCAAAGTGCAAGGATTACAGGTATGAGCCACTTATGCCTAGCCTTCAGGAGTGTTTTTAATCCCTGGTAAATCTTTTATTTTTATAGAGATGGGGGTTTTGATCTGTTACCCAGGCTGGTCTCGGACTCCTGGCCTCAAGTGATCGTCTCATGTTGACCTCCTAATGTGCTGGGATTATAGGCATTGAGCCACCATGCCCAGCCGATCCTTGGTAAATCTAAGAAACGAGTCTGAGGCTTTTCGTCATATTTCCTATCCTCACTTTGTCTCTTACTCTCAGACTTAGGCATCGATTACCAATTATAGGTAGAAAAAGTCAGATGGCGGGTATACATACAGCACAATGTGTGCTCTAATAACTGTATTTTTGTAAAGAGGAAGCTCTTCTTCTTTGAGGAAGCAAGTGAGCAGTCTGAGTATTTTCTTTGTTTCAGGAACCATTTGTAACCCTGGACCACGGAAGTCTATGCCTAAGCTGCTCTATATCCGTCTAGCCCTCTTTTTGCCCGAGATGGTCTGGGCTTCTCTGGGGGCTGCCTGGGTTGCAGATGGTGTTCAGTGTGACAAGGCAGTTGTGAATGGCATCATCGCAACCGTTGTTGTCAGGTGAGAACTCCCCTCTCCCCTTTTAGTTTAAATGCATTTGAGATGTAGGTGAACAAACCCTTCTAACAGCCTGGCATCACACAGGCTTCCTAAAATAGTTAGAAATAAGACCTTTCCGAGTAACTCATGAACATTTAGAGACACTTGTTTATATGTGAGAAATAACCCATCTTTCATTATGCATTTATCGATGTAGTTTTATTTCCCTCTGGTTCTCACTTTTCTGTATTCCCTCCCTTCTCTTATAAGAAGGAAGAAAGCCAAAGACCAAAAAAGGGCAAAAGCTGAAACTAAAGGTATAAGAAGAGAGTGTCAGAAGTTGCAGCAGGGAATAATATCCTAGAACAAAAAGGTTTCGCATTTTCTAGGCTGAAAATCTTAGAGATGATCCAGTTCCACCCCGTGTTACGAATAAGGAAATCAAGACTTGCGCTGTTGCCACCTTTCCTGAGTCACACAGCCTGGGGACAGCAGAGTCCCTTCACGAGATGCATCTTCCCGGTAGCACACGTGTTTATGAATCCAGTGTCTTGCACGCTGTGGACAGTGTAGAAATATTTAAACATTTGAGCAAAATACCTGTCAATATTCTGCGATATGGAAATTCTTTTGGTTTTACAGAGAAGAAGCCTAAGGCACTGGGGAGGAAGCCACTGGGTCATGGTCTGGGGCCATGGAGAGTAAGCTCCAGCTACTTCCTGGCCCCAGCTGCAACTCTGCTCATGAGACATCTCCATGTTCCTTCTGTGGTCTTTACTTTCAGAACTCTGGCCTTTGTGGGGCCATTATCTATGAGTTCTTTATAGAAAAAACAGGTTACTCACCTCAGCCAGATTCTGCGAATTTTGCGTCTTCCTCGGTAACTGGACCTCAGTTGTAGAAATGCACAAACAGAGCCCAAAGGAGGGAGCCTTTGGCCCTGCATCTGGGGTGGGACCCACAGTCATTGAGCCTTTTCCTCTCTCTGTTTTGCAGTTGGATCATCATCGCCGCCACTGTGGTTACCATTATCATTGTCTTTGACCCACTGGGGGGGAAAATGGCTCCATATTCCTCTGCTGGTCCCAGTCACCTGGATAGTCATGATTCAAGCCAGTTATTTAATGGCCTCAAGACAGCAGCTACAAGCGTGTGGGAAACCAGAATCAAGCTCTTGTGCTGTTGCATTGGGAAAGACGACCATACTCGAGTTGCTTTTTCGAGTACGGCAGAGCTTTTCTCAACCTACTTTTCAGTAAGCTGAAGGGGTCTGGTTTGGTCTCTTTCTTCTGTTTAAGTAAATGCTACTTATGTGACGACAAGTACCCTGCATTCTGAGCCAATCCCTCTGTTCACATAAAATAAGTTTTGAGAATCTGGAATCTTTGGGCGAAATGGGTAAGGGCAGATACTCTGTTGGGGATTAATAGTCTAGGGAGCAGTTAATTGCAAGGACCATGTTTTTTCATCTCTCTGGTAGGGTACATCTTTGTATGGACACTGTCAAGATTTTGAATTGGGTTTTGTGTTTTATTTTTTGTTCTTGAGATAGGGTCTCCCTCTGATGCTGAGGCTGGAGTACAGTAGTGTGATCATAGCTCACTGCAGCCTCAATCTCCTAGGCTCAAACGATCCTCTCCCCTCAACCACCCAAGTAGCTGGAACTACAGCTGTGCACCACCACACCCAGCTAATTTTTTAAAAATTTGTAGAGATGAGGTCTCATTATGTTGCCCAAGCTAGTCTTGAATTCCTGGCCTCAAGTTATCCTCCTGTCTTGGCCTTGAATTAGTTTTTTGTTTTTGTTTTTTGTTTTTGAGTTGGAGTCTCACTCTGTCACCCAGACTGGAGTGCAGTGGCCACTGCCAGCCACCACAGCCTCGACCTGCTGGGCTCTGTGATCCTTCTGCCTGAGTCTTCCAAGTAGCTGGAACTACAGGCATGCACTACCACGCCCGGCTGATTTTTTGATTTATTGTAGAGATGAGGTCTCACCAAGTTGGCCAGGTGGGTCTCAAACCCGCGGGCTCAGGCAATCCACTCACCTCGGCCTCCCAAAGCACGGGATTACAGGCTGAGCCACCGAGCCTGGCTTGAATTAGTTTTTAAGTAACTAAGTAATGGAACCTGTACATTTGGGGAACAATTTGCCAATTGTCTTTTTAATATCTCATCTATCCAGCTGGCTCTGAGCAGATACCAAGTGTAGGCAGTGTCATATATCAAAGATAGTATCGCATAGTGATTTCTTACTAGTTTATATCATGATGGAAATGATAGAAGTTTGAATGAATTATTTAGTGCAGAAGGGTATCATTCTAGAGTGATTTCTTCAGTGATTTAAAGATATTTGTTTTTCTTTCACAACCAGTGTGTGATTTTGTCTTTTCTTATGATGTTCTTTGATAAATTGCTTTATGTTCAATGCTGAGACCCAGTAAAGAAGGAAGAGTTCTCTTGGCATCCTGCATACCTGCCATCTCTTTCTCACACCTTTGTTCTATCCAACTTTGCTTTGTTCAGGGCTTGTCCCGTGACCTGACACCAGGCTATAGCAGCAGCCTCCACGTGGGGATTGGGGGAAGTGTGTCCCCTGAGTAATTTAAAGGAGTGTTTCAACCTAGTGTTTAGATATTGAGAAGAAGGAAGAAAAGAATATGGTTAATTTTAGAAGATATCTTAATCTATATCATAGGCAGAACTGATGGCTCAGTGGCTGAGTAGCCAGTACATTGTTCTTTCTTATGGACACCTGGAGGTGGTTGAGGATTCCTGACTCCTATCTATCCTGAAGTATAAGGGTTCAGTTGGGTTCAAGAAGTTTGGTATTCTTTTTGAGGCTTGCTGTACCTAATGAGTATAAGTTCAGTCTCATACATCTCTACCATAGACCATTTGAACAAATCCTTCACCTCATCTGAGAAATGAAAGTATAAACTTGGGCTAAAATTGTGCATTACTACAAAGATGTAGAATTTATCTGTTTACTTCACTACTTTACAAAAGGCTTGAAGTAGATTAAAGATAGCTGATTTGATTTTTTATTTACTTATTTATTTTTGAGTTAGAATCTCACTCTGTTGCCCAGACTGGAGTACAGTGGCACACTCAAGACCACTGCAGCCTTCACTGCTTGACTCAGGCAGTCCTTCTGCTTCAGCCTTCTAAGTAGCTGGAACTACAGATGTGAGCCAAATGCCCAGCCAATTTTTTAATTTATGGTAGAGTTGCCCAAGCTGGTCTTCAAACCCCTGGACTCAAGCATTCCTCCCACTTTGACCTCCCAAATTACAGAATCACAGGCGTGAGACACCACATTCAACTTGAAGTGAAATTTTAAAATAGGAGTCAAAAATTTTTTATGTTCTCCAGTGGATTTGTTTGAGGACAGGATATGAAGAAAATATTAAGTTCACATATAGAAAGACTCCTGCAAGGAAAATGCTTTTAAAAATACTTTTGTACTTATAGATGTATCTGTGTATGTGCACATGTGTACCTGTGAATTATATAAAACTAAATTTTGGGGAGCTTATGGATACTTGCTGCTAGCCGTTATGACAGGCCACTGTGGTTTCCCACCCAGGACACAGATCTGGTACCCAGTGACATTGCAGCAGGCCTTGCCCTTCTCCATCAGCAACAGGACAATATCAGGAATAACCAGGAGCCTAACGAAGTGATCAGCCACTCCCCAGGGCCCTCCCAGGTAAGCCTGGTTTCTGTTGGATTGTACAGTTTTGACATTCACCCCTCTTTGTAGATCTTCAAAAATTTTCAGCTAGCCAACAGCAATTTCAGTAGCTGTGTGGTTAGAATCTGATTTGTGGCTTCTGTTGGTTATAATTTTTTTTTTTTTTTGAGTCAGAATCTCACTCTGTTGTCCAGACTGGAATGTAGTAGCATGCTCACGGCCACTGCAGCCTCAACCTGCTGGTCTCAGGTGAGCCTTCTGCCTCAGCCTTCCAAGTAGCTGGAACCACAGGCATGCACCACCATGCCCAACTAATTTTTTTGATTTATTGTAGAGACATGGTCTAGCCAAGTTGTCCAGGCTGATCTTGAACCCCTGGGCTCAGGCAGTCCTCTTGCCTCGGCCTCCTAAAGTGCTGAGATTATAGGAGTGATCCATTGTGCCCAGCTACTGTTATAATTGATCACCTGTCAAGTGAAGCATTTCTTCATCACTCGGATTTCAGTTAGTGGGAGCCCAATACTGGCCAGTTCACCATCCATCATATTTTTAAAACCTTCTATTTAAGGAAATTGATTGTCAAATTTTGCATATCAGAAAAATTCTCTCTGGGATGAAACCTGTGATTTTCCCCAGGTGTGTTTGCTTTCTTCTCTGGGCCTGGGGAGCAGAAACAGTTCGGTTTTGCTTGATAGTTTTTCTGCCACAGATTTTTATGCTTTTGAAAGAGAATATTGCACATAGACTATGTATTTCTCTGCCCTTTCTTTAAGCACACAGTTCTTAGCAGCTCATGTGTTGCAGTGGCATGGAAATCTGCTAGTCTGGTACATCTAGTCAGGAAGCATAGCTCATTTTGGCAGGAATCAGAAAAGTCATTAGGTTTTTGTTGTTGTTTCTGTTTTGCATACTTACTGCATTCCAATGAAACAAGGAGTCCATCTCAGTCTCTATTTAAGAACCAGTTTTCCCTGTGGAATTCCTCTTAGAGTTCTATTTAGTGAGGAAAGAGAAGGAAGAAGCAGGAATTTGTGTTCCAGTTTAAGATCTTAGTGTGTTGATCCTCTACATAATGAGTTCCCTTAAACAAGAGCTTTTTTCCTTCTCTTCCAGGAAGCTGATTTGGATACAGAATTAGAAAATTGCCATCATTACATGCAATTTGCAGCAGCTGCCTACGGGTGGCCCCTCTACGTTTACAGAAACCCATTTACAGGGCTGTGCAAGATTGGTGGTGACTGGTAGGTTGGCACGGTCTGAGGCCTCCTTAGCCATATTTCTCTCTAAAGAAACTTTCTATTTTGAGGAATTTCAAAAACTTGCAAGAACAGTACAAAGAACCCCCATATATCCTTTCTCTAGAGTCACCAGTTGTGACTCATTGTCACATGTGCTATATCACTTTCTCTCTATATATACATATTTTTTTCCCTGAACCATTTTATGTTTTTTTCCTTAAAGATCAGAAGAAACAACTTTGAACCATTTCAGATTTAGTTGTAGATACTATGCCCCTTTCTCTCTAATTACTTTGACCTGAATTTCCTAAGAACAAGAACATTCTTTTACATAACTATTGTAAAATTATAAAAATCAGGAAATTGATCATTGATCATTAGCTAATTTACAACTCGTATTCAGATTTTTCCTTATCATTTTTCCTTATCCCAATCATTTTTTTTTTAGTTTTTCCTCTGATGCAGGATGACACATTGCATTTAATACTCATATCTCCTTAGTGTCCTTCAAGTTACAACAGTTCCTCAGCCATTCTTTGTCTTTCATGATATTGACATTTTGCAGTGAGCAGTGCAGATATTTTTTAGAATGGTCCTTAATTTGTATTTGTATGATGACTTCCTTGTAATTAAATTTTTGAATTTTTGGTAGGAATTGTCCATGGGAAACATTGTGTCTTTTTAGTACATGCTGTCAGGAGACACATGTTGCCAATTTGTCCCATTCCTGGCGATGTTAACATTGATTTCTTGGCTGAGGTGATGACTGCCAGGTTTTGCCACAGAAGTCATCTTTGGGGAGATGCTCTGAGACCATTTAAGTATCCTATGCCTCTTTAAACATTCACCCAGTAGTTTTAGCATCCATTGTTTCTTGTCTGAATGGGTTATTACCAGGATGGTTGCAAAATTGTGATTTTCTGAATTCACCGTTTCTTCCACCTTAGTTGTCATTCTACTGTAAAGAAGAGCTTTTTCTTCCTTACAACTTATTATCACTGTGGAGTTATAGATTCTTTAGTCAATAAGTTATAATTATTACTATTTATTTTGTAATAAGTATAGTATTTACTTGATGCTTACAATGTCCCAGATTTGTTCTGCAGACTGGCTCCTGTGTCCTTTTGTTATGACCCCATCATGTGTTGAGCCCTTTCTGATTTTCTGACATAAGATGTTGTGGGTTCATCTTATGCTTTCCCTGGAACTGTTTCTGTGGGGCACCGTCTTCTTTTAGTGGGCAGTGGTATTTAGAAACCAAGGTCTGAGTGCTAAGTGTGCATATTACTCCTGGGGTGTTATTGCTTCTGGGCCTTTTCACTGAACAGAGTTGGAGGGAAAAAATAGCAAGTTCATGTGATTCAGTCCAATATTTATTTGTTTGTTTATGAGTAGGAGTCTCACTCTGTCACCCAGGCTGGTGTGCAGTGGCACGCCCACAGCCACTGCAGCCTCAACTTGCTGGGCTCAGGTGATCCTTCTGCCTCAGCCTTCCAAGTAGCTGGAACCACAGGCATGTGCCAACACATCTAGCTAATCTTTTAAATTTATAGTAGAGACGATTTCTTGCCAAGTTGCCCAGGCTGGTCTCAAACCCCTGGACTCAGGCAATCCTCTTACCTTGGCCCTCTAAAGTGCTGGGTTTACAGATGTGAGCCACTGTCCAATATATGTATATTTTTAAAATAATGAGCTCATACTGATAACCTTTTATTTTCGATTCAGAGCCACAGGGTTTTTCCTTGCCTTCTCCCATATCATATCTGTCTACTGTCTCCCACAGAGAGAATCCTGGCACCCAGCAACATCATGCTCAGCCCTCCAGTACTCATGAAATAGTTTCTGAATTGTTATACCCAGTACAACGACAAAAAAGAGAGCTGCTAAATAGAGTTTGCAGTTTGTTTTTAGACGTAGAATCCTCATTGAAAAGTTACTTAGGTTATTTCTTTCACTGTTTGTTTCTTCTGCAGAATTGATTATGTTGTTCATAAGGGTTTGACTTACCTGCTTCTGCTGGTGTTCAGTTTTAGGGTTTCTTCCATGCTTATTTGGATGTATAAAGCTTTAACATGATGCCAGAAGTCAAAATTCTACTAAGAGGTATACACAGAGAAATATTTTACCTTTCAAATGTCATTCCGTGTTAGCTAGGTTAAGTCCTGAAAATTGTAAACTCCAGCCCTTGTGTTTGCTGTGAAAACATGACAATGAAGATTGATATTTCTTGGTAAGTGGCTCTGATTGGCACAGTAATGTCTTTGCCTTCTTTTTTAGCTGCAGAAGCAGAACAACAGAATATGACTTGGTTGGAGGTGATCAACTCAACTGTCATTTTGGCTCTATTCTGCAAACAACAGGACTACAGTACAGGGATTTCATTCACATAAGCTTTCATGACAAGGTTAGTATAAGACAGTGGTTCTTTTTTTTTTTTCTTTTTTTGAGTTGGAGTCTCACTCTGTCACCCAGACTGGAGTGCAGTGGCAAGACAGTGGTTCTTAACTTCCTTTGGGTCCCGGGGTCCTTTGCAATTCTGATAGTTATGAATTATTCTTCATATTCTTTATATAAGAGGTACACATACACACACTCCCAAATCCTGTGTACCATTTCAGAAAGTTCACAGGTTTCCCCCCACCCCGAAGCCCACACAAGTTCATTGGTCCAGCTTCAAAACCCAGGTTTAACCTAAGATGGAGAAAGAAGTCTTCATCAGAGGTAACATACTGTGTTTCTTACATAAGCCTATCTTTTATTGAAGAACAATGAGTTCCTTCAATACTAATTTTGCACAGATTTCCAGGCTTAATAATCTTGTTTCCAGGTTTTGAGCTCCATCAGCAATAGTGTAGTGCAGTGTGTCTTACACTTTGAAGGATATCAGAGTCACCTGGGGTGAAGCTAACTCTGTCCAGTTTCTGTGGGCCATGCCTCAGTGTTGCTTAGTATCTCTCTAGGTAATTCTCCTACACACCTAAACTGAAGAACCGCTGATATAGTTACTGTAGTTCTCAAACTTTGCTCTGAGCTTTTAAAACTGCTAAAGTCTAGCTGGGACACAATGGCTCACACCTGTGATCCCAGCACTTTGGGAGGCTGAGGCAGGAGGATAGCTTGAGTCCAGGAATTTGAGACCAGACTAGACAACATAGCAAGACCTTATCTCTGCAAAAAAAAATTTAGCTGGGTGTGATGGCATGTGCCTGTAGTTCCAGCTTCTCAGGAGGCTGAGGTGAAAGCATCGCCTAAGCCCAGGAGATTGAGGCTGTGGTGAACTGTGGTCATGCCACTGCACTTCAGCCTGAGTGACAGAGTAAGGCTTCAACTCAAAAAACAAACAAAAAAAACTCCTGGAGCCCAGGTCATACTCCTGCACAATTAAATCTCTAGAGATGAGACCCCCCCAGCTCAGGGTTTTTTAAAGCCCTCTGGTGATTCCAGTGTGTAGATGATTTTGAGAATCACTTATCTCTAATCCAGTGACTCCCAAACTGCTGCATTTTTTTTAAAGATGTGGAGGCTGGGCCGGTCTCGGTGGCTCAGCCTGTAATCCCAGCACTTTGGGAGACCGAGGTGAGTGGATTGCCTGAGCCTGTGGGTTCGAGACCCGCCTGGGCAACTTGGCGAGACCTCATCTCTACAATAAATCAAAAAATCAGCCAGGCATGGTAGCACATGCCTGTAATTCCGGCTACTCAGAAGGCTGAGGCGGAAAGATTGCCGGAGCTCAGCAGGTCGAGGCTGCGGTGGCCGGGAGCGGCCACTGCACTCCAGCCTGGGTGACAGAGTGAGACTCCAACTCAAAAAAAAAGAAAAGAAAGATATGTGGGGTACAATTCAGGATTAGGTATACAAGTGGTCATTGGACAAGTAAAATATGGGCCTCCCTTTAGTCCCCTCTTTGCCTGGTTTGAGATCAGGTACCTAGACTGGTGCATTTTAGAATCACCTGGGGAGTTTTTAAAATCCTGATTTCCAGGTCACACCCCATCTCAATTAAATTAGAATGTGTGGAATGAGACCCGGTATGGTATTTTTTAAATTAATTTATTTATTTTTGAGTCAGAGTCTCACTGTCACCCAGGCTAGAGTGCATTGGCACAATCACAGCCACTGCAGCCTAGACCTGCTGGGCTCAGGTGATCCTTCCACCTCAGCCTTCCAAGTAATTGGAACTACAGGCATGCGCCACCATACCCAGCTAATTTTTTAATTTATTGTAGAGGCAAGGTCTCGCCAAGTTGTCCATGCTGGTCTCAGACAATCCTCTTGCCTCCGCCTCCCAAAGTGATGGAATTACAGGCATGAGCCACTATGTCCAGCAGTAGGTGTGGTATATTTAAGTGAGTCTGATGGACCCCACACCTTAAGAACCTGCAATGACCTCTGCATTGCCTTTGTGCTGGCTGGTCATGACAGAAAGAACTGATGGAATTTAAAGATATAACTTGTCACAGAAAGTGTGTGACAGTTCTGGGAGCTCTTTCAAGGAGCCCATACACAATGGCATGCTTCATTTTTTTTATTTTTTGAGTCGGAGTCTTACTCTGTCGCCCAGACTGGAGTGCAGTGCCATGCTCACAGCCACCACAGCCTCAACCTGCTGGACTCAGGTGATCCTTCTCCCTTAACCTTCCAAGTAGCTGGACCTACAGGTATGTGCCACCATGTCTGGCTAAGTTTTTTGGTTTATTGTAGAGACCAGCCAAGTTGCTTAAGCTGGTTTCGAATCTGTGGGCTCAGGTAATCCTTTCACCTCGGCCTCCCAAAGTGCTGGGATTATAGGCATGAGCCACCACCCCCAGCCTCACAAATGTTGTACTTTAAAAGTTCCTCTTCTGTGGAAACCAGGGAATGAAGTCGGCAATCTATTCCCTGCTTGCTCTATATACGTAGCTGTTTACCACAGACAAGTGGCTGTCATAGTGATTGTGACCATTAGTTGATTGCCATGAGCCAGGCATTTCTTCGTTTTAGTCGGCATGCCAGCCTTAAGAATGAGGTGGAGCCAGGTTCAGTGGCTCAGCCTGTAATCCTGCACCTTGAGAGGCTGAGGTGAGTGGATTGCCTGAACCTGCGGGTTCGAGACCCACCTAGGCAAATTGGCAAGACCTCATCTCTACAATAAATCAAAAAATTAGCCGGGCATGGTAGCGCGCGCCTGTAGTTCCTGCTACTTGGAAGGCTGAG